CATGGTTGCAAATGCAACGCCAAGTTTGTTCATTTAAATTTATTCAGTTTTAGCATTTAATAATTTATTTGTAATGATCTCTGAAACGTAAATTGTAAGTGGGCTATAATAAATGTTTATCTTTATAAACATGATTAATTTTACTTGTGATGTTTTCTATATGGGATGATTAGCCTAATCCTCATGAACACGTGACGCTGGCGCGTGGTATCAGACATGAACTATACAGAATGTGAACAAGATTAACTTTAATACAAGGAGATAATGGCGGAAAAGCGAATTTCAGTTTTTAAATGCCCATCCCAGCAAAAAATTTCCAAAATCGGCATCCAACACCAGCCCCAGCACGAGCACCGACGTAAGTGAACCAGCTCCAGCACAAGCACGGAGACAAGTAAGCCTAGCGGACACAGCCCAACCCCCGAGATTGATCAGCTACTATCGATAATTTCACAAATGTGATATGCAGTCAAATTTCCCAGTGTGTATGCCACTTAAACGTGTGTTCATATCGACGCACTTGTAGTGCTTTGTGGAGTTGTCAAATGAGGTCGTTCTCCACTGTAGTGTTTTCATGAATTTCAATAAAAGGAAAAAAATTGAGAGAGACTGATAACGGCTGTCAGAAGACAGAACGATGTCAAATTTACCGTCCCGCCCATATACGCTGCATTAGAAACACTCTCGCATTAGCGTTAACTGTTTTTTTGTAATTTGATGCAAAGGTGATATAATACAAAGAATAGTGTTATAAATGTAGATACATTTTTTTTTTAAATACAAATATGAAAAACTTTCGAGGATTTACGATGCTGATGACCGTTAAACGCATCATCACAGTCTTGTGAAAAGGGTCCATTGCTTGGCCCTCTGTAATTTTCATAGCTGGACCTTCCGCAGACGTTAGGCGGAAACATTCTAATATGGAGAAAATGGGCGGCGTTCATTTGCCCATTCGCTGAATAGGCAGATTTGGAGTTTTTTTTTTTTTTGTTCGTTTTTTTTTACTCAGATAAATTGTATTTTATTTAGATGATATTATTATGAATTGCTTAAACACAATTTGTAATAATTATTTTTTATTTAAAATACTATATTTTAAAACATTTATTTGTTTTTCTCAGAGAAATTGTATTTATTTTATTTAGATGATGTTTGTCAAATTATGAATTGCTTAATTAAAATTAGTAATAATAATTTTTTATTGAAATTTAAAACATTTAAAACATTTATTTAAAAATTGTAAATATTGTTTTTACAATAAGTTAGGCCCTCTCTGAGGGCCCTGACAGTTCCCCACTGCTGTATGAAGACTTTTCACCCACCTCATAGTTCTGCAGAGGACACTGCTGCTGGCCCGCACTGATCACTCTCTCCCACAGTTTGGGAAGCACATTTGAGATGTGACATGAACAGGTGATGGCAGAGGAGTGCAGAGGAGCCAGATAGGGAGCAGGGACAGTGGGCCAGCCAGCCATCTGAAGATCAATCACTATCAACTCCTCTTCCAAAAGAACCACAAGCGCTGATGGGTCATCAAATTCTGTGAGGCACACAAATAACCATAAGTCCATGCACAGGAAATAAAAATAAACATTTAGCATACACATGCATCATCAGTGATTTATAGGACACTTATTACAGGAACAGCTCCACAGAAGCAACCGGGGTCCAAGTGCCCTGATCAAGGGTACAACTGTGGTAGTTTAGTGATTGCCCCATGTAAGAGTTTGAACCTATAACTAGAGCTGGGCATTATGACTGTATATATACCATGGTAGCAATGTCAAATTGAACAGATTCTGCTGGAATTATTTATATTATAGCATATTCATGGTACACAATTTGAAGTGTTTTTCACATTGATGGCTTATTTGTTCTAAAAAAATATTATTCTGGTTTACATCCATCAAGTAAATAACCAAGCGGCAACCTTCCGGTCTCTCTCTTGAAACCAACATGGAAGTGACTTAAACTGCAGTTCATCGACTGGCCGCTAGAGACTGGCTCCAAAAGGGAGTCAATCCCATAGACATCCCACCCCCCATGTTAAAATGGCCAAATTTACAGCAGAAAAAAATGTTTACAGCCTGGAACAAAAAGTGGTTTTGGTCTATATAGCTAATTTTGCCCTTCATGACAACTGTGAGGGGGGTGAATTTTTTTAGAACTCATCCATTTAAATTATATTAAGCCTTAAAGTTCTGCAAAATTAAGGGCATGGCCACTTGAGTGACAGGTGGATTGCCGCTGTTGTCACCACCGTCGAGCTAGGCGGGTTTTGCCCAATTTTGCCCTCTTTGCCCATTTCTGATTATCCAGGAGTGATGCACAATGACGCGCTGCCAAGATGGCGACGGCCCACTCCGCCCACTTTAGGCTTCAAAAATGCTCTTCAGAAACCTACGGGTGATGTCACGGACACTACATCCATGTTTTTATACAGTCTATGTAAATAACCTATTAATATTATTAATAATAACCATAACAGTATTATTATTTATATGTTATTCAACAACAACAATAATCATCATCCTTTATTGAAAAAAAAACATTATTATTATTATAATAGTTGCCGTTACTATCACTTGTAGCATAATAGGAGATGAAGTCCCTTTTGTGTCTACAGTTTAAAGTCACTAGGTAGATAAGGTTGTGTAATATATAAAACAGTTTAAAGTTGAACTTTCAGCTAAATTAATCATACTATGAAAGATACTATTACAGTGAAATAAAATTACTTAAGAGTTAGTTCAAACCACCCACCCCTACTTTTCAGTAGAGATCGACCGATATATCGATTTACCGATATTTTCCCCGATATTTAACCCTCTACCGCACGCATTATGATAGACCTATAGAAAAACATATTTGAATCTTTTTCTTTTCTAAGAATGGCTTAACTTGAAGTGTTGTAAAAAAATTTTTGGAAAAAAATATTATTTTAAGGTACTTTATGATATGTTGCCATACGGCAACAGCATACAATAGTGGATCTAACTTAGAATAAGTGTAAGCTTACTTATAATAAATATTTTTAAAGCACATCATTGGCTAAACTAAGGTCCTCTCTTTCCAACAAAAAAAACGAGAATGTTCTCTTAAAGAGACAGTGGCAAGGAAATGAACACAAAGAGTATGTTGCCATATGGCTACACCATGCGGTAGAGGGTTAAGCATTTTACCATAATCGGATATCGGTTTTGTAATATCGGATTCACCGATAAACACCGCCATCTTGTGGGTGTTTTGAGAATTGCGCGCAGGATCGGCATTGCAGCGCGTCTGAGGGGAGACAAGACGACAACAACAACGGCATGGTGCAGGTACTTGATTTGCTGTATTTAGTAAACTTTATTTAACATAACAGTCATTTATGCACAAATTAGATGCATTACAAAAATGCCTGATATGTAGTTTATGCAGCTTGGCTCTAAGAAATAGAGACCAACTCACGGAGTCATGTAAAATAATCAGTCAAGTCCTGTCCCAATAAAGACGTAATTTTGCCTGAATTAAATCATATGCAGCCATGAATGAGCGCATGTTGGAAATAAAAGCGCTGCATTGAATTCGCTCTCTGTTGTCTATGCTCATCGTTAGTCTCGTGAAGTCGGAGTCACGTAGATAATCCGTCAAGATCCTCTCCCAGTAAAGACGTAACTTTGCATGAGTTAAATAATACAGCCATGAATGAGCGCATGTTGGAAACAAAAGCGCTGAATTTAATTCTCTCTCTGTTGTATATTTGCTCATCATTAGTCTCGTGAAACCACTTTCATATTGCTGTTCACTCAGCGGGTTGGTGTGGTTGATGCTTGTTTAAAACACCCTAAATTGTATTAACATTTACTATATAACCATTATTTCGCTAATAAACATCTAAATAAATACAACTCTATGGAAATTCATTATCTCCATTATTCTTGACTCTGTAGCTATTAAACAGCTTATAAACCTACTAAAACTGCAGTTTAAAATGAAGTTGATATGACTCCTGTCCTTTATTTTCTCCATTTGAAAACATTATAGACATTCTACATTTATTTTGCTTATTGTTAATATTAGAGTTGTTGCTGTTTATGCTTTTTATAAATAAATAATTGTAATATGAAGATTAAATTTAACATGAAAGACTGCTAATGTTTTAGAGGCAAATATTAAACATCTCCTCCCTGCCTGATTATTTAATTGCATTGCTTTTTTTAATACAAATAAATATTCAATTCTGTTATCATAACTGGGCATCAGTGTGTATGCTAAATGCAGCTCACCAAGGCTGCATTTTTACAAATAAAAAATACTGTAAAAAAAAAAAACAGTAATATTGTTAAATATTATTACAAAGTGAAAGAGTCACATTTTATTTTACTATATTTTAAAATGTAATTTATTCCTGTGATGCAAAACTTTTCAGCATCATTACTCCAGTCTTCAGTGTAACATGATCCTTCAGAAATCATCCTAATATTCTGATTTCCTGCACGAGAAACATTTCTTATTATCAATGCTGAAAACAATTGTGCTGCTTAATATTTTTGTGGAAACTGTAAAAAAAAAATTCAGGATCCTCTGACATATACAAAGTTCAAAAGAACAGCATTTATCTGAAATAATCGTTTATACTGTCACTGTTTGATCAATTTAATGCAACCTTGCTAAATTAAAAAGTACAAAAATTTTAAAGGGGTCCTATTATGCTTTTTCACTTTTTCAACTTTAGAAAACATTATAGACATTCTACATTTATTTTGCTTATTGTTAATATTAGAGTTGTTGCTGTTTATGCTTTTTATAAATAAATAATTGTAATATGAAGATTAAATTTAACATGAAAGACTGCTAATTTTCAACACTTTAAAAAAAAAAAAAAGTTGACTGAAAAGAGAAAAAACCAAAGTGAAGTATGTTCTTACTTCACTCAGTCATTTATTTACTTTATAACAGTAAATAAATATCGTTTCTGCATATCGGTTATCGGGCATGTAAACATGCAAATAATTGGTATCGGTATCAGTTATAAAAAATCAATATCAGTCGATCACTACTTTTCAGTTATCAGCCCAAATCTTTAAACACTAGTCCACACCACCGGGCCCATGGGTGGCCTGCTCACCCTTATCTTTGTCTGTGCAGTGAATGGTGAAGAAGTCTATGACACGCGAGGTGAAGTCCAGGGTGACATGGCTGCTGTCCTGGAGGATGGTTAAGCAGTGTCTGTCTCCATAGCTGGCTCTGGGCATACCGCCACTGAACAACACTAGAGGAGCTCTACAGACACAACAGAGGAGACCCTCCTGAGAGAACTAAAACATGCGATCATGGGATTTCATTTCTCACACATTACTGCACGCACCCTGATTCTGTTGTCCTCCACAGGATCTTGTTCACGGCTTTGCAGGGAAAGGGGCCTGAGATGAATAACACAAAAATGAGGAAAACAGAACGACAAACTGAGTTTAAGAGAAACCACCAAAACTACAGAAATCTTGGCAGAGTACATGTTGAAAATTGGAAAATATCTGTAGATCCCCCAAGCGGTTTGTGTCAACAAACCATCAAGCTAAAAGTGAGTGCATTTGAGGTTTACGATCCCTTTAATAGGTCTGGAGAAGGATTTTAAAGGGCCTATTACAAAAGTTGAACGGACTCTAAGCTTTGGTATAGAACAACATTTCCTGACATTGTGCAAGTTAAGCAAACATTACAGCATGACCAGCCGTCTATGAGCTTGTGGCTACTGGAATTATTATAAATGCATAAAAAACAACCCAAAACATGACGTGCGTTTACATGCATGTTAAATGTTTGATTTCAGTCGGAATAGCTAGTCTTTTTAAAATGTAAACGCATTAGTCTGACTTGTACTAGACCTGGACCATGCGATTGTAGCTCGGCTTTGTCCAACATGTATTTACATTAATCGGACAACAATTAGCCTCAAAAGTTTGGGTTAGTAAGATTTTTCTTAATGGTTTTGAAAGATATCACACCCACGAACGCTCCATTTATTTGATCAATAATACAAAAAAAAAAAACAGTAATATTGTTAAATATTATTACAAAGTGAAAGAGTCACATTTTATTTTACTATATTTTAAAATGTAATTTATTCCTGTGATGCAAAACTTTTCAGCATCATTACTCCAGTCTTCAGTGTAACATGATCCTTCAGAAATCATCCTAATATTCTGATTTCCTGCACGAGAAACATTTCTTATTATCAATGCTGAAAACAATTGTGCTGCTTAATATTTTTGTGGAAACTGTAAAAAAAAAATTCAGGATCCTCTGACATATACAAAGTTCAAAAGAACAGCATTTATCTGAAATAATCGTTTATACTGTCACTGTTTGATCAATTTAATGCAACCTTGCTAAATTAAAAAGTACAAAAATTTTAAAGGGGTCCTATTATGCTTTTTCACTTTTTCAACTTTAGTTAGTCTGTAATGTTGCTGTTTGAGCATAAAAAAGATCTGCAAAGTTACAAAGCTCAAAGTCCACTTCAAAAGGAGATATTTTATTTAACCGAAATCTTTTCAAAAACTACAACGAACGATTCGTTTGGACTACCACACAAATTTTCTGTGATTTGTGATATCACAAAGATCGACGAATGGGACGAGACCTGGTGCTTTTCGAACAACCTAGTATGAGAGCCTGTTCTAGTACACCCCCAAAACAAAATCAAGACTTTGTAAAAGAGCATAATAGGACCCCTTTAATAATAAATAAAAAAATCGGACCCCAAACTTTTGAACGATATTGTACACTTGGACAGACAGATGGAAAATGTAAACAAACTTACTGCTAACAAACAATCCGTGTGTGATTGTGAGAACCAAAGAGAAAAAGGGAAGGGTGTGTAATTGGCATGTGTTTCGGCTCACCATATGGTACTGTGGATGAGATGGGGTCATGAGTGCAGGGATTGCTGCTGCTGACAGCCCACACCATGTATCCGCCATCACTATGGGAACTAACAAAGCTGTTCCCGGACCGTTCCCAGACCAAACTCTCCAGCTGCTACAAGAGTGACAGTCCCACACAATACACAGTGTCAAAAAAAGACCAAAGACGATGAAAGGAAGTCAAAAGGTTTGAATTAAACCATCGGGACATCTTAACATCAAGCACTGATGATTTAAAGATGGTTTTAAAAGAGTTTTTATGAATCACGGACAGATCTCTTGACCTGATCACTTTGTCCACAGTGCAATTATCTGACATTTACAGAGATTTTCAGACACTGATGTCTACGTTTCTGTTTTAATTTAATGCCTTTCAACCACACAACCCCAAAAGAGTGTTGAAAGCCATTTGAGAGACATCAAACCAACTTGCACACAAACCCACCTGCTTTCCCAGGAAGAGGTTGACTACATGCCGACTGTTGAGGTCCCAGAGTACAACCAGACCTCTGCTGTAACCAATGAGGATTTTATCAGAGTCTTGCGGATGTTCCTGCAGGGACTCCACAGGCCCCAATGATTTTCCACACTTGTACTCCTCTGGAACGCTGAAAAGGGGAATAACCAGACACGTGAATAACATTACAAATAGCAAGCTTTTATTCAGCGTATTCTGAAGATTCAGAAAACCTACAGACAGATGACAAAACCAAGCACTACTCTGCACCAAGGAACATTTGGAAGATTTATTCTCTTTGTAGTGCCGCTCAACTGCACTTCTATTTGGTGAAAAACCCAAATCTGAGTACACACTACTTAACTCCCCAAACACAGAGCGCTACTGAAGTACACATCAGAGGTTACAGAAAACCTTTACTGCAAAACTTCAGTCAGCACTTTTTTTTTCTCAACAGAATCAAACGCAGACTTGTGTGGAAAAGCATTTCACGTGGAAAAATGTGCAAGTCTCAGGGTTCAATGAGCGATGAACAAACCAAGCTCCAAGCTTTGAGAACAATGTATTGAACATTTGGTAACAATTACTCTTGATTCATGTTTGCAAAGTCTAACGGGGTGAACGGAAAGAAAACACAAAAGTTCAATAACTCAAAAAAATTTAAATCAGTGGTTTCAATGCAAAAGTAACACAGCAGAAGTTGACAACATTATCAGATGCTGACATGTTTAAATTCGGTTTGAAAGCCAGACAAATGATGACAAATCAAAAGCCACAGTCCGGGATTCCTCTGTGGCGGTGGCATGGATTCAAGAGCTGGAATGTGCATGGTACACCCACAGAGTCGGGATGAGATGCAGCCATGAAGGGAAAGAGGAAGGCGCATGGAATAGAAGGACTGGAGTAGTCGTTTGGTGGCTTGGCTTCGAATGAGAACAGCCACAAGAAACAAAATTTCACACAAACAACTGAAGGGTTTTACAAGAAAATGTAAGAAACAAAAAAAACTGATTTGCACTTCTTGAAATACATACTGCTGTTTATAAGTTAGTATATGATGATAACCAAATCATAAATTAGTATGGCAACATTGAAATGGCATTAATGCTCCCAAATATATATTCAGAATGTTGAACACTGTCGAAGTTAAAGGAAGATCTTGCAATTTTAAAATTTTTATAAAAACTGAAGATGCGCAGAACAAGGCTATAAGATTCCAATGAAGTGTTTCCACACCTTTTTGACCAATAACTCTATGATTTTCAAATGATCTTTGCCTGATTTTTCCAGTTATTCGTGATTACTGGATAAAGATTTTATAGAGACTGAAATCACAAAGAGCAATTTCTGCAAAATTACAAATTACAATTACAAATCTGAGCATATTTAATCATTTATAATAAATAAAACAACCATCATCACCATACACATCATATAATTACATCAATCATATAATTACAATTTTTAAAGGTTAAATAATATTAAATAAATAAAATTAAATACTTTAAATGTTAAAATATTAAATAATCTTAATGTTAAATCTCAAAGATGACGACGACGACGACAACAATTATTATTTTAAAAAATAAATAATAAAAACTTAATATTCCCAGATTTTTCATGACTGTAGGAATCCTTAATTGACATTAGAAGAATGATATTATAAAATAGTTTTCCAAACTAGTCTTCATTGAGGTTAGTAGAGGATGGCCACATCACAGTGGATGCATATTAGGTTTTATGCTAGCAAGCACACCATTTATAATTATAATAAGAAGTATTCTGAAGACATTAAAACTCATTTACACATCAATCTAGATGCCTCCATGTCTTATAGAAAAACAAATCACAACAATATTTTTTTTTCTACTGAGCCACAGAGTATATTCTGGCATTCCAGATCCTGCTGATTTCCAAAGATGAGTGTGCAAAGCTCATATCCCCCATTTTAAATGACTCCTCGGCTGGGGCCCAAGAGATTTGGCACTTGGTACAAAAGCATTTTGTTCAGTAGTTTCCTGGCTGACACATACTTATTACCAGTGGCTCAGATAGGATGCTCATTACCCCAAATTGTGCTCAGTTAATGAGCAGTTCAAGGTCTCTCAGAAGCAGATGAAGTCCACATTTAGCCACCCAGGCTATATCTGCAAAAGGGCACACTGGGAAAGCTGTAATTTATCTCAGAGTTAAATAACGTCTTTAAAGAGTAAGATGAATAGTTAGTGTGATTTCCTGCCTTGTAGCAGACATAATTACAGCCATTAGGAAAAACAGGTTTCTTTTTAACAAAAGGTGTATCAAATATTTATAAATATTCGTACAATGACAAATGGACAGCAGCGGCTTAAAGATCTCAACAGATCACAGCAATCAAGGCCTTTTTGAAGTCCAAATGTCTAGCTGTGGCGGTGTGAAGTTAGTACCTTGGCAGTGGGACAGGAAAGCTCAAGCTGCATATATCCTACTGACAGAGTAACAGACAGCCACAGCTGGGGGCAAAAAGGGGCAAAGAGCCTTGAGCGAATCAGGATGTTTGATTCGTTTCTAGTTCAAAGTGTATGAGAGAAGTGTGACAAAAGCAGCTCAGATAGGGCCAAAGGAGGGAAAGAAAATAAACAAGAGGTCTTGCTGCAGCTTCATTAACCTCATGCACAGATGGGGTGGGAGTCCGTAAATGCTTATTTTATGAGGTAAGTGCTGTGGAATCTGTCTGCTCGGCCATCTTTATTAGAGTCCAGTGTAGATGTCCAGAGTCACAGAGGCTTTAAAAAATATATTAAAAATCCTCACTTTCCACTGAGACATTCAGATAATCCTTTTCAGAGTTGTTGTAGACAGGTATACTAGAGCAGTGGTTCTCAACCTTTTTTTCCACTGGGCCGCACTATGGTCCAAGTGCAAGTCTCACGGGCCGCACACATATCATTTACATATTATGTCACCAATACAAACCAACCAGAATTATAATAGCCTATTATGGTCTAAATATTATGATTATATTATATTATAATCTAATCGATTACATTCATTGAAATAAATTAATAAATAATTATGCTCACCATTAATAAAACACCTGATGCTGTCGGGAGCTGACCAATTTTGTGAAATTCGGCTGGAAAGGAGTAACAGCACAATGAAGTTGCCATTGTAAGTTGCAGTCTGTAAGACGCGCACGGAAGCGTGACTTGACACGTGACATTGCAGAAAATGTGCGTTCACAAATGTAGCCTATGTTGATCCAAATTTAATAATCTGAGGTTCTCTCCAGAGATGTTTTGCCACATTTCTGCAATTAAGGATGATTGCTGCATAGTATGGGTTTCCTTGTGCCTGAACTAGAGCCTTGCATTTCGACTTTTTTACGCCCCTAGGGCTGGGCTTCGGGACAATTTTCACGTCATAGTTAAGACGCGGGTCCGGCATCGGACCTGTTTTAGGCTTCTCCTTATTTTTATATTTTAGACATCCATCAATTAGTGATGAAAAAAGATTTCCGCGCTGGTGGAAACAACACGAGACCGTGCTGCCGTGACTGTCAAGAGTGGCTCGACGGTGTTTAGTGTCCAGCAGCAGCTAGCGTGCCGTCAGAGCAGCTGAACAGTTCTGCGTTCAAATGCACACAATAGGCTAAAGCTTGCCGCAAAGCACCGGCAAAAGTAATTACCATGAATGTGTC